CTGAGAGAGGAGGTCCTGCCGCAGGAGAATGGGCCACGGGGCTGCTGTTAGCAGCTGAAACAGCTCTGAAACCCAAAGCTGGTTCCTCCAGAGCGGGGCCACCAGAAGGACCCTGTCTCTGTGTTCCCCGACTCGTCCGATTACCTGAGGGATCAGAACAATCAGGGGAAAAGCATACAGGAGGAAGTAGGTCCAATCGTGGGCCAACGCGTCCTCGCTCTTCGAAAAATAAGTTGGGCAATGAGAGTTGTCTTTTGGGGCAAAGAGGTCAACCTCTGCCCTGCCAAAGATCTCCCAGATTCTCTGAACCGTTTTGGGGTGGAGCATCCACTTTTCTGAGGGGACGTTGCTCCGAGATAGCATGTCTGCTCCTCGGTTCAATATGCCGGGCACATGTGCTGCCCTCAATGAACGCAAGTTGAGATGTGCCCATTCCAAGAGGCGTTTTACCATCTCGATAAGGCGTTTCGAGCTGAGCCTGCACCTGGTGATTTATATAGGACACCACTGTCATGATGTCTGAGCGGACTAGTACGTGGTGTCCCTTCAGGTCCGGCAAGAAGGTCTGAAGGGCTCGACATACTGACATCTCGAGGCAGTTGATGTGTAGCCGGCCTTCTGCAGCCGACCAGGAGCCGAAGGCCGGTCTGCCTTCGCACAGAGCTCCCCAACCCGTGTTGGATGCATCGGTCGAGACAACCGTCCTTCTGTGAATCAAGCTGTTACACAGCCCTGGCTTACCCTGATATGAATGCGTCCGTGACGCCACGCATGGGGCAGAATTTGAGGTTTCAGCCAGTACTGAAGGGGTCTCATGCGGAGCAGACCCAGCTGTAGTACCGGTGATGCAGAGGCCATGAGGCCCAGCATCGTTTGAAACTACTTGAGAGGGCAAAAGGCTCCGATTTTGAAAGATGCCGCGTGCTGTTGTATGGCCAGTGCATGTTCTGGCGCGACTACAGCCTTCATGTGGGCGGAGTCGAAAAATGCTCCCAGGAACGAAGTTCGTTGGCTGGGAGACAGAGAGCTCCTGGCAAAATTGACCCTGAGTCCCAGGCGCTCTAAGTGGCTGAGAAGGAGGGATCTGTGGGATATTAGCTCGCCTCTGACTGGGCTAAGATGAGCCAGTCGTCGAGGTAATTCAGAATGAGGACTCCCATCTGCCTCAGAGGGGAGAGAGCCACATCCATGCACTTCGTAAAAGTGCAGGGAGCTAGGCACAGTCCGAAGGGGAGGACTGTGTATTGATATGCCACTCCCTTGAAGGCGAATCTCAAGAATCGTCTGTGATGGAGGGCTACCTGGATGTGAAAATAAGCATCTTTCAGATCCAGAGAAAAGAACCAGTCCCCTGGGCGTATTTGCGAGAGGATCTGCTTCAGGGTAGTCATTCTGAACGACCGTTTCATGAGGGCACAGTTCAGGTGTCGGAGATCGAGGATGGGCCGGAGGCCGCCATCCTTTTTGGGGACGAGGAAGTAATGGCTGTAGAAGCCTGACTCGCTCTGAGCTGGCGGAACCGTCTCTACGACTCCTTTTGCCAGTAAATTATTTACCTCGGATTGCAAGACGTGAGCGTCCTTGCTCTGCACTGAGGTGGAGACCACGCCGCGGAACCGTGGGGGTCTTCGAGCGAACTTTCATCCCCAGAACCCAGTCTGACACTCCGGGCATAGCCTGCCAGGCCTCGGCCCATGTGGTGAGGGTGTTGGATTAGTTCGGGTGGTGAGTCGCCACTCGTGATAACTGGAAGAGGAAATTTGCTCTCTTTTTGAAAATGTTTTTTATTTTTCTCGCTATAACAGCGGCTGTTTGTGAGAGTGCTTTTGGAACGGGCCCCGTATTCACAACAGTTCTTATAACAAACATACTGCCACTGGCACCCGGAACCGAACGGGGTGCTTGAGGGCACATCAGAGGGCATTTTGGGGGTGGTCCGGCTCTGGCAAGATTTTGCTCCCTCCTCTTCCTGCCCAGCAGATCAGGACAACGCTTGAGGTGCAGGATCCAACGTCAGCCTGGGCCAGGGTCCTTGGCGCTTTGGAAATGGGTAGCGTCTGGCCGAGCGGGAGCGCTGTCGGGGCTCAGGCTTCGGAGTAGGCTGAGTGGGCGGCGGCGCAGGTTTCGCTGGCTGCTGTGCTGGTGCAGGTCTGGGGTGGCTGGTGGCCGTTGCAGAGCTGGAGCGCTTAGGCAGGAAGTGCCGCATTGCCTGGGACGACTTCTGTGCCGCTGTAAAATGCTCTGCAAATCCCTCGACGGCGAGTCCAAACAGCCCCGTAGGGGAGACCGGAAAGTCGAGGAAGGGGACCTTGTCAGCCTCCTTAATTTCAGTGAGGTTTAGCCATAAGTGGCGTTCCAATACCACTAGGCTCGCCATTGACCTCCCGATGGCCTGTGCTGTAGCCTTCATGGCTCGCAAAGCCAGGTCTGTTGCACTGTGCAGCTCCTTGAAGGCTGCGGGGTCGGGTCCGGACTCGTCCATGCCTTGGAGGAATTTGGCCTGAAAGACCTGAAGCACAGCCATGGAGTGCAGAGCTGAGGTCGCCTGCCCGGCGGAGGAGTATGCTCGTCCAGCGAGGGCAGACTTCCTTCTGCAGGGCTTGGAGGGGTGAGCAACCTCCGCTTTCCATCCAATGGCAGTGGGTGGGCAGAGGTGCACAGCCACTGACTCATCAAGAGGAGGTAGTTTTCTTATAACCTCGTTCCTCAGCGCCATCCACTGAGGAGAGCGCAGCAGATGAGGATGTGCGAAGGCGAGCCGAGTAGGGAGCACGCCATAACTTCATGAGCTCATCGTGGACCTCCGGGAAGAACGGGGAGGCTCGCTGACGAGGGGCCTGGCGGCACCCTGGCAGGAACCATTCGTCCAGACGGCTACGAGAGGGCTCCTCCGGCGTAGACCACTCCAGTCCCAGCTCTTCGACTGCTTTAGAGAGGACACGGAAAAGTTCGGCGTCCATCCCTGGCTTGGCGTTGCTGGGATCAGCAGACGGCAGAGGGGCGGGGTCAGGGGTAGAGCCCGACAGCTCCTCCGCGTCAGACGCTATTAGAGACATGCTGTCATCTAATAGCTAGTCCTCCATTACACCGAACGAGATCATGTCACTCGCATGCGCCAAGAGACGCTGGTCTGAGTGTTCAAAGAGGACGGGAGAAGCCCCTCTGCTTGGCGAGCGCGAGGCACGCGGGATCTGGGCCAGCGTGAGCTCGCTCATAGCCGAGCGCTCAGTACCCCTGCGCCGCTGTTTTTTCCTCACAGGTCCCTGGGAGGAAGAAAATGGGAGGGCGCGAGGGGCGGAGTCACTCTCTGAAAAGAAAGCGATCCGAGCGCGTAGAGAGGCGAGACTCATGTTCACGTAATGTGAACACTCCATCTCGGTCAGAGCGGCTTCTGCATGGGGCTTGCCCAGACAGGAAACGCACTCTGAGTGGCTGTCGTCAGCGTGCAGTGCAGTCCTGCATGAGCAGCAATGACGGCGTGGCATTTGAAACAATGCCGCTGCTCTTTTAGAATGGAAATTTGCTTTTTTAGGCTTTTAGCACGAGCTGGTGTCTGCGCCGAACGCTGAAAGCGGCTCGTAGAGCGGGCTGGAACAGCAGAGAGGCGCAGCGGAGAAAGCAGCTTCTGTCCACAGTGAGGCGTGCCAACGGCGAGCGCTTCAAGTCCCGTAGATCAGCGAAGAGAAGATCGTCGTCGCTGAAGGAGAATTAATCTGAGATCCTATGGCGAAATGCCCGCTTATATAGCCAGATGGCCCCGCCCATTCTGGCAGGCTTTGTCGCCATACGATCGTGCAACTCCGCTGCCGAGCCATTGATTCGTCTTTCAAATACTGCACGAACCAATGGCTGTGCAGTTACACTGCGTGATTGTAAAAGTCTTCAGTCCTCGGAGAAAAAGGTGTTTTTCCCATAAGCGTCTAGCGATGCAGTACGAGTGAAGTATCGAAAGGGAACTGTTTGGTTTAACACATTATTCAAAATATCATGTTTTGTCTTTAGCAGAAGAATGAAATTCATATAGGTTTGGATCAACTTGAGGGTGAGTAAATGACAATTTTCATTTTTGGGTGAACTGTCCTTTTAAGGTTCTCGAGACAGTAACATATTGTTCTTAAGACAATATTTAGTTACAAATATAGATTAGTTTTGAAGTACTTCATAAAAACGAATTTTAAAAAAATTACATTTTTATTTTATATGATAAATACACTGAAGTTATTAGTCTGTATAAACGTGTTTGAAAGATTGTTTTATCAAAATTATCAAAAATTTGAATTTTGAATATTATGGAATATTGGAATATTATAACTCCCCCTCCATTTGGAAACATTTAATGTTAAAAAAAAAAAATTTCTGTCATTTACACACCTTTCTGTTGTTCCAAACATGTAAGACTTTGGGTAATCTTTGAAACACAAATTACTATATTGTAGTGAAACTAAAAGTTAAGTTAAAGTTAAAAGTCCAGATAACCAAAACTTAAGACCCAAAACAGTCACAAAGGCAATGTAAAGCAAATCCAAATGAATCAAGGAGTTAAAAAAAAAAAAAAACACACACGCAAAGAACACATCAGATATGGTAAACGGAGACTCAAATGTGATGCATGAGAACCAATAAGGTTTGCTGCAGCTCGTAACGCATGCGAAAGCTTAACTGTTCACCATATGTGATGTGCTGTATGAATGTGTGTTTGTGTGAATAAAAGTCTAAATTAAAATCGGTTCATCAAATATGCTCATTTAAGCACCCATACATAAAATCTGTGCTTCGAAGATTAACCAAAGTCTTATTGATTTGGAAAAACATGAGGCTGAGTAAATGACCATTTTTGGGTCAACTAAACCCCTCGTTAGCAACTAGTGTTGTCAAAAGCACTGACTTCGGTACCAGTCGGTACTGAAATTTTAAAAACGTCCATTTCCCGCTAACAGTCGGTACTTTTGACAACACTATGAGCAACAGATGTGATGACTGCAGTGAGAAGGTGGTCTTACCGGAGCATGCTGGTGGTGCGCTGGTCTGAAGTTCATGCTGGTCGGCCTCTGCTTCGCCATCTGCTGATGTCGCATCAGGTTCAGGATGGCCTGGTTCGGTTTGTTCTGGTTCTGTGTGGCCTGAGGGCCCCTGGGTGCACCAGGCGCTCCAGCCTCATAATGGGACAGGGGTTTAGTGTTACTGTAGTCCAGCATGGCAGCCTGGGCTCCTGGGTTGGGTGGGTGGCTGAGGGGCCCCGTGGGCGCGGCTGGGTGACTTAACATGTTGCCGTGTCCACCGGGCTGCATGTAGCCGGCTGGAGCACCTGCTTTGGGAGAACCCTTGTTGGGCATGAGCAGGGTCTTGGGGTTGGGGAAGTCTTGCGGGTACAAAGAAGGGCTGGTGGACTTCTCAAGGCCAAAGGTTCCGCCCATTTGACTTTGGGTGGGAGCATTTTGGGGCCAAGATGTTGAGTGGTTGGGCTGCTGGTGGAATTTCGCCGCTTGCTGTTGCTGTGGCTTTTGTTCTTGAGGTGGCTTCTGAACCACATGCTGCTGCAATATCGCCCTCTGCTGCTCGCGTGCCGCTAACTGCTGCAGTTGCTGCGCGGGGGACAGGTCTTTGGGTGGGACGGGCAGCAGGTGATTTGGGAGTGGTCTGGTGGGCTGCTGCTGCACGGGCAGGGCCGGCGATATGGGGGAGTTGGTGTGAAGCGGAGGCCCAGATGAGGTGGGTCTCACCTGAGGTGAACCGTTGCAAGAGTCCTGATCGAAGGCGGAGTGAGCCGTAGCGGGGGAAAATTCAGTCTTCACGCTGACCAGATCTGGCGGCAGCAAGCTCTGAGCTGCACCGGCGCACGGGAGCTCGGGGTCCTTGCGATCTCCAAAACTGTCACTGAAGAGCTCCTGGATGTCCTCGTAGGGTACGGAGCGGTTGAACTCCTCCATGATCTCACTCCAGTCCTGATCGTTGAGGTTGAGGTCAGGGAAGAGGCTGTTGTTTCCATTCGCACCTCCACCAGGCAGTATGCAGGGCAAGATATCGTCTACCGGCTCTTGCTTCATTTCTTTCAGGCGGAAATCGGACTCTGAGCCACGTAATGCACCGCTATCGGTTAGACCGGACCCGTTGTGCTCTGCACCGACCGCTCTGTTGTTCCCATTGGCCATCATGGCTTCGGTACTCACGTTATATTTGGAGTCCATAGGTGAGAGAGGAGGCACTGTGCCATTCGAGACCCCATTAAGACCCCCCAATGCATCCTCAACACAGGCTTTTTTATTGGGCGGGTAGCCATCGGTGAAACCATTGACCTGGTCACGGCCTAGAGGTGAACCAGCATTCTCCAACTTCCTCTTGACAGTCTCCTGTAACTGCACATAGAAAATACAACAAATTAATATTTAACAAGCAGTTCATTTAGGTTTTTACTTCATATTTGTTACAAAGTTGTAAAACGTGCCATGCGAACTTGATAAAACTTAAAACATGTCCATGAACTTTAATCAACATCCAGGTTTTTTTTTTATTACATGGATTCGTAAGTTATGATGGGAATTTTAGGTGCTGTGACTAATTATAAATCACCTTTTGTCATTAAAATGACCCTGCAGTGTGACAATTGTTTTTACAAATATTCAGATATTTAAGTATTTTATGTCAGTTACCCTCAAGGTAAGCTTTTCTTTCCATTTTCAAGAGTCAAAACTACATGTAAGATTTATGTTTGCCAGCAAAGATGTTGGTCCCATTTTATTTTCACTAAATAATTATACACTAGACAATGTAGATAAAATTTTAGATAAACAGCTGAAAATAAGTACTGAGTACAACAATGATGTTGATATGCTGTGGGCTGGTATATTATTCATGACTCATATGTGCATTATGAGAATTAGCTCAAGAAACTCCCACTCTCATGTTCAGAAATCCTGAACACACTTTTTGAATTGCATACCCTATTAAATAAATCAACATCAGGTTGTTAAAAGATGTGTAATATGTGTTACTAAAAGGACAAACATTGTGTACTAATAATGCAGTTTTTCTACATACATTAATGATAATTATGAACTCGTTTTACAACAATTCACTTTAATAGGCAGACTTTTAGGAATGAATCATGCACTTAAAACTGAAGGGCCACTGCTCTCCCATCACAAACATTTAGGCCTGCATATGGTGTGCTGTATGACTTTTAAGATCAGCTTATGCACTGCATGCAGTTGTTAATACACACTAAATAAATTCACACATTATTATTTAGTAACTGTAAATTCCTAGAAAACTTATAGTAAATGTGTCTACTCTTGAGTTGTGACCGGCTAAAGAGTATGCGTCTTTGTCATCAGTTTCTGAGCATTTCTACACATTATTCATGAGAAGGAACTTTATCCAATCAAGGCACTGTATTATGTAGAGGTCGACCGATGTATCGGTTTTGCCGATTAATCGGCACCGATAGTTGATTGCTGGAACTATCGGTTATCGACAAAAATCCATGCCGAGTTTTACGGGTTGCGTCCATTGCTGGAGCGGCTGAGAAGGGTCTGCTGTCATTATACAGTGCGAGAGCGGCCTCTAGTGGTTGAAATAACTGACAGCACGTGCTATTTGTTTAGACACGTGATACTGCACGCTGAACAGAGCGGGAAACTTCAGACGCGGATTTAAATGCAGCCGACAGAAAATCCTGCCGCGCCACAGAGCGCCATTCACACAGTTTTCCTTTAAATTACATTATATTGGTCCCGAATCGTTGTTAATGTACATAATGAATTGTGTATTGTGCATTTTCAGCAAAAGGTTTGTCTTTCTGTGGCTCTAATAAAGCCTGTGTGCTTCATTTATAGAGCTAACTATCGGTTAATTAATCGGTATCGGCCAGTGTGGTCCAACCTAGTTATCGGTATCGGCAAAATCCACTATCGGTCGACCTCTAGTATTATGTATGTGATATTTTATATTTTTTAATATTACAACACGTCATTTAAATGTTTCAGCTGCACTGATTCAACTTTATCATCTTGTTGTTCAGAGACATACGTGTGAAACGTGTGCATTTCTTCAGTGCAGTAGGTGCTCTAAACATATGGCATAGTGTTTGCAAACATTCCATTGCATCTTTTTCAAATAAAATATGACATTGACAATAAATGTCAATAATGGCGATAAATAGAAGACAATGTAGTAAACCGAAAACTCAAAGAAGAATGAAAAGTAAACATGCCTTTATTCTTCCTGCTTTACAAGTCATTTGCTCAGAGACTGTAATGCTTGTAAATGCGACGAAGATATTAAATATATTTCAAATGTTCTTCCTTATATTTCATACACACCAATAACTCTCATGCTCATGCAATGATATTTCTTAAGAATGGTTTAACAAAACCTATTTGGTTTTTTTCATGTGAAAACGCTCTGAAGTTTTGTCATAGGGCAACATGTTTAAAATACAGCAAAGTGCTTACTCTTATTTTTTATAATGAGTGTGTTGTAGTTCTGTGTTTTATTGGTTGTTTTCTCCTCTCCTCCTTCCCTCTACACTCCCACTTTTCCACAGCATTACAGGCCCATTTCTTGAGTCTTCAAATTTGAGGTGTGAATGACCAGTGCTAAAATGGGGGATTCATGACACTTTAACAAATTTAAATGTGATTGTTTACTTGCGCCACCCAATTTAAAACTATAGTATTAACCACAAATTTATGGCTACTGTGTGCAAACAAATACCATGTCACAGGAACTGAAACTCCCCTTCTTTTTTTTTTGACATAATCTGAGATTTGGAGGGCTGGTGCATGATGGGAAGTCAAAATATTGATTTCAAAGTGTGTGGCGTTTAATAGGAACAAAATGAGGTTTGAAAACAGAAAATGATGTGCAGTTTTTGACCCATCTTTCTGAACAGACTTGAGCCACTATGTGCCGACATACGGTCTGGCTGTGAGTGAAGTGAACTCCCCCTCCCAACAGCAGCAGCACACTACAGAGTTTCTGAACCTGAAAAACTGGTCTGTATGTATCAGCTACAGTCACTTTTCTGAGACGACCTCGCTTGGGCGGCACACCCACGAAAACGTCCTTTCTTTCAAACATGCTAAAACTCTTCCCAAAGCAATTTTTTTTACTGACATATGCCTCTTAATCTCTTGCACTCTTACTTTCCCTCCATCTTTGTGCCTCCCCCGCAGGCTTGAGCCACATGAGTCTAATTACCATGTGTATGAACGTGTATCCCACAACAAAAGAGTCAGCGCACGGACCGCGGAGGGGTGCGGGAGTGTGCCAGATTCCTGCCCCTGCACAGCTCAGGCTCAGCTCGCCTTTGAAGCACTGCCTGCTACAATGGACAACCCCCGACCGCACGGCGCCCAAGGGCAGAGAGTGCCGTTTGAGTGCAGCGATCAATATTAGAGCAAAGACTCGGGTCACTACACTCAGTTTTGTGGTTACAGCTACTTCACAAACAAGGGGCAAAGTCCAACAAGTGTTTAACGTCGTTTAGTGAAGTTAGTAATTAGTACTTTAATGGTCGAGAGCAGCCAAAAATCTGTACGTGTAATTCAAACCAGCTGTTCATTTATTAGTGCTTTTTGCCAAGACAAAGCAGTACTAACCCCAAGCACTAAACTTCAGTATGTAACTGTGGTACACACTATGGATTCACCAAAATGAAAATTCTTGGCTGAGAACAAATGCAAACAAAATGAAACACTGGGCTGAAGACTGAAGGCCAAATAAGTTTCTTCGCGTTTTTTCCCCCCATGTTTTGTTTTTAACCATTGCATAAATTAAATAGCCAAAATTAGCTTTTTACTCTTAAATTACAAAACAACAATTTAAAATTATTTACTTAACACTGAACATGGGCGATTTTTCTGATTTTATCGATTAATTTGAATTTAATGTTTTGCCATGCTTTTATTTTGTAGAAATTGAGAATAGCGATTTTGAATAGAAATCTTATCAAACCCTAGATGCAAACTTTTTTGGCATAGATCAGTGAAAACAGTAAAGAGAAAAGAACGATCCGACCACATGTCGGCAACCGCTCTGTGAAGGACTGTAAATATATAGTTAGGCACCATTTACACAGAATGTGCTTCTGTGTTGACACAGATGTGACGTGGGCAATGGAATAAGCATTGCATAAATTAAATAGCCAAAATGTGCTTTTTACTGTTTTGTCTTGTTTTTCAAAGAAAAAATTAAATTACAAAACAACAATTTAAAATTATTTACTTAACACTGAACATTAGGGCTGGGCGATTTTTCAGATTTTATCGATTAATTTGAATTTAATGTTTTGCCATGCTTTTATTTTGTAGAAATTGAGGAATAGCGATTTTGAATAGAAATCTTACCAAACGTTAGAATTAGACACTTTGGGAATATGCCAGTGATAACAGTAAAGAGAAAAGAACGATCCGACCACATGTCGGCACACGTGATTAACCGCTCACGTGTGACACGCTCATATCACTAGGCGCTATTCACACAGAATGCGCTTGTGTTGACAAAGATGCGACATGGGCAGTGGAATAGAAAAAACATGCAAGAATATGGGAGTGAACTTCTTTTAACTTGAGCGCCACGTTTTTAGAATGCCGTTTCATGCATGAGACGCTGCAATTGATGCGAGTGCAACAGTCAAACACGGCTATGTTCACATAGAAAAAATAATGGAAAAGCAGCACAAGCGAATAAAAAACCTGAAACTACTGTATGTCTGATATTTCATGTTTGCATCATGGTGACAGGCTGAAAGCTGCGGTTGTTTTTATAGAACATTTATAGACAGTAATAGTCTACTGGTGTTATATCTTCAGTCATTTTGAATTTGAATTCAATTTGAATTTGAACCTTGACTTTTGAGATTTTTTTTTAAAGCATTTTCCTCGTATTATATCTGAACATATAATATGTTTAAGACAAGTTTGTACAAGATGTAGTTGTAGTTCATGCATCTTTTTTGCAAAGATACTTAATTTTGAAGCATTTTCCTGGTATTATTTCTGAACATATAATATGTATAAGACAAGTTTGTACAAGATGCAGTAGTAGTTCATGCATCTTTTCTGCAACTATACTTAAGTGATTTGTTTAACATTTACATCATGTTGACAACTTCATGTGTGGTGCACTTGGAATAGAATTTTCTTTAAATAGAGGGTTAATAAAGAAAAAGATCATTTGAATCATGTTGTAGTTACATTTTTAAGTTGACTAGTTAAAAATCATAAAAAAAAAAATTGAGAATTTGTCAAACTTTCTGAAAAAAAAAAACGAGATTTAAATTTTTTGCCAAATCGCCCAGCCCTACTGACATTTTTTTTACATTCTAGCAGACATTATACCAACAAAGCACAAT